CTTCCTCGATTTCTCGTAAAATAGTCAGTCATTCATCGGTTTCATTTATTAGCATTCAGTGGAGTTTTTGCTTTTATTTGTACCACCTTTGGTGCCTTTTAAGTTTTTGATGATTAGATTTGCCAGATTGGGTAGAGGTTTCAAAGTTTACGCATGTCTATAAGCCTAATTGTAAACAGTAAACAGGGTGCCTTCCATTCATTTTGCCTGAAGGAATTTTTGTGAGATGGTGGAGTGGTGGGATATTATGATGATGTATGTTGTGCGTAAGTGGCGGAGGGAAGTGTGGGGTTTGTGTTTGGCGCATCTTGTTATTCCACAGTTATGTCCATAGTTGAATGGAAGGCACCCTGATAGCAAATTTAATAAATGTTACTAATAATACTTAATTAATTATTTTTTTTTGTTCTATTGTCTTTCTCTCTTTATATCGGTGCATGATGAGATACACTGAACAAGGTGAAGATAAAATAATACTTAAATGTAAGTATCACATAATCTTGCAGAATTGATCCGACGCCTACGAATATAATGGAGATAGTTAGATAAAAACACGAAGGATCCACGATCAGATTCAAAATGGAAGTAATGCGGTATAATCGAGGAGCTGTACTAGTGAGATTGATAGCAAGAGATGGACACTGTTTATTTTCATCGATAGTGAACCAACTTTATCATACAGAGGTGCATTCGGAGCAACATTATGAGATGGTTTGGCAGCTCAGACGGGAAGTTGTGACTCACATCCGGAGTCACATTCATACATATTCAGACAACCTGATATCCTATCTTATGAATCCTGAAATACGCACTCCTGGTAATACATTGGAAGAGAAAACCCAACTGTTCTTGCAAAGGCTCGAAACCTCAGCAGAATGGGGCGGTGAGGAAACGATTTCAGCGGTATCCATAATCTATGGAAGGAGAGTCGACGTGTACAACGAAAATGGACCAATTATAAAATTTAACGAGAATGGAACAGTCAATGGAGTTATACGCCTTGCATACCGGATTACTGCTCATACTAGAGAAAGTTGCAGCAGGAATCACTACGATAGTATTATCCAAAATCTACAATTACGAAATAATAGATCCCAAGAGGTAACAGAACAGACACCCAATGAACGAGGTTATCAGGCCCCGAACAGCGAAATCGAAATATGGCAGCGGAACCCAAGGATTGATGCATCACAAATAAGTAACAGGTCATACGAACATACGACAATTAATACGACAATGACAGGAAACCCAAACCAAAAATACAGAATAGCAACATGGAACGTCAGAGGATGCTCAAATGACAGGAAACGAGACGAATTAGACATTGCGCTTAACGAACAACAGATCACATTAGCCGCTATACAAGAGTCGCGTATGCCTGGATGCACGTTCGAGACACGACATTATGTGTGGTACAATGTTAACGATGACGATAGAATTCGCCAACGAGAAGGAGGAGGGACTGCTATTGTCGTTCATAAATCTATACATAAGCCGAATAAATTCAAAAAGATAAATTCGAACTCGTGCTCGTATCTTAGTGACTTCGCTGGAGAAAATATTATATTTATATCCACTTATGCTAGACCGGTGACCAAGGAGGATAATGGAGAATTTTCTGTGTTGATTAGATATGTTTTAGGTCTTTCAAACCACCTACAAAACAGAATCGCAATGCTCGGCGATTTCAATGCCCACCTAGGAGTAGAAGACCTAACGGATAGCGATAGACGCTACATAGGACACAACCTACTACATCGGCAGTCAAATGTAAACGGACTGGAATTGAAGAATCTAATTCATTGTCTCAAACTCAAGGATTACCTCACATTCGCCAAGTCAAAATCCGTCAGAGTTACATGGAGCAACCGGAAGAGTGAATCTCAAATCGACCATATACTACTAAGCGTAATGTCCTTTTTATGCAATCCTGATATCAAAGCGTTCCTGCATCCAGCATCAATCAGCGATCATAAAATGGTGATAGGAATAATTAAACGCAAAAGAAATACAGAAAGTGTAACAATTTCACAAGAAGGTCCAGCCATTCATCCAACGAAGCGGGCTAAACTAGATCTAGGACTACTATATAATGACGAAACCATAAAGGAAAGATACCAGGTAACATTAGATAGAAACCTAGCTCGCATCCCTGGTAATGCCAGCATAAGTGAAAAATGGGAAAAGATAGCTACGGCTATGACTACAGCAGCACAATCTCACTTGAGTTGTCCCACATCTCCTATGACTCCAAGGCGTGAGAAAGCTTATAAACGGTACGATCAAATTCATCACAAACTTATTTTGGATCGGTCGAACTCAGTTTTGAAGAAAAGCTGCGCGGAAGCCAGACGCGATAAAGCAAATGCTTTTAAACAACATTTCTAAGACAAAATCAACAGGTTTCTTGAAGAAACAGAACATGATAATGGATTAGATAAAATGGTGAAAACATTCAGGTTTATCAAAGCACACAGAAGGAATAATGGAAGCAAGCGTGGGAAATTTATCCATATTAGAGACTGGGAGATGAGGCTACGAGAACAAGGAGCGGGGACAGATATTCAGCTAACTGATGAAACTGACGAGCGCTCTCCGGGACCAGACCCTACAAAGGACGAGGTGATAAGAATAATAATAGAAATGCGTAACAATTCCGCACCTGGCCTGGATGGAATAGCAGCTGAATTGCTGAAACACGGATCTGAAAACCTACTGGATCAATTAGTGGAACTACTAGTCGACGTTTTTCGGAGCAACGAAGTCCCGGTGTCATGGGCAACAACAATACAGATACCAATCCCAAAAATACCCAGCCCACAATCGACAAATGACTACAGGCGAATTACATTATGCTCAGTAGCATATAAACTGTATGCAAAAATATTGCTGAACAGACTACAACAGCAACTTCCGCAGATTCCCGATTACCAGATGGCCTTCATGCGAAAAAGAAGTTCTACGGACCAGATTTTTGTTCTTCGACGGATACTGGATGAAAAATGGCGTAAAGGCAAACCCGTCATTATAGTATCTGTGGACCTTCGGCAAGCATTTGATAAAATCGATGTGTCAAAGCTTTCCCCAATATTGCGGGAAATGGGCGTGTCCGAATCATTGGTTAACAGGATTCTTAAGGCGTGTTTGAGTGAAGAGGCATCCTTGCAGTGGTATGGCCAACGCACGCAAATAACACGAAAGAAAAGAGGAATCAAACAAGGTTGCCCCATCAGCCCAATCTTGTTTGTTATCATGTTGCATCACGTACTTGTCACGATGAAGGAATTTATCCCAGAACTAAATATGGAGCATATAGAGAGTATCGTACTACCGCTCATTCTGGCATATGCTGATGACCTCCTGTTTTTGTGTGAAAATATTGACGAAGTCGAACATCTGCTATCTGTATTGGAACCATTATTAGCATCGATTGGTTTGGAAATAAATACCTCCAAAACCAAAGTACTGTTTAGGGACCCGTACAATATAAGGAACGTTAACCCAGACCAGACATATGATTTTGGAAAATACAAACTAACCCTAGTAACGAAACTGACATACCTAGGAGCAACGATTACCAGCAGTCTAACCCGGAAACAGACAACATCAGATCGAATAAAGAAAGCATACAAAGCCTTCCATACACTATGCGGTTTTTTGCGACAACACCCAGTAAGATGGCCTGTGGTAAAGAAACTGTATCACGCTTTGATAACGCCGGTAGTAACGTATTCAATGGAAGTGGCAACGGTACTCAAAAGTAATAGGAACTCCCTCCGTAGAATGGAGAGCACGATGTTGTCTACACTAAAAAGATTGAGCAGGAGTAATGCAGGGTCTCGTGAAGGAGAAGAATCTGAAAACATGAACAGTCACAGCAGCAACAACCACAAGAACAACAATTAGTCAATGTAGAGACTTCACCGAACAATGAACAGTCTGATTCACAGTATATAGCTGTACGGGAGTTGGAAGGAAGAACCATAAATAATAAAATCAGGGTTTCTCGTCTAAACTTTTATGGACACGTCGTTAGAAGCGCACCTCAGGGGATTATCAGGAAAGCCCTAGAGTATAGGATCCCGGAGAAGAAAAAAGTTGGAAGACCCTGCTTCACTTGGAAAACCAGCGCAAGGCAGGATGTAGAAAGAAGCGGTCGATCGGTGGATTATTGGCAAGAGGTGGCTAATAACAGAAGTGAGTTCAAATCAGCCACGACAAGATTGTTCACTGAAATGGTGGAATCAGAATACGAAGACTCGGAAGTTACTCTCAGCGATTCAAGTAGCGATGAGCAACTGAACATCCTGGATTTCAGAGGTTTCTCTGAAGACGAGGATGATGGTTTCCAAGGATTCGACTAACTATGTGATGGTAAAATCTACTAACAACTTCCCATACTTTTCACCAACCTCGATCATTATTAACAGGTAAATATCCATTTTATTAAATTACTATATTATACTGTCATTACTGTTAACACTATCATTGCAACTAATTCAATTAGGCATATTCAATTGACCTGCATCGGGTTATTATTTTGCATGTAATGATATGGGAAAAGGGGGGACTCACGATTCAGCATGGAGAGTGTATAGGAGCCGTTCTAGGGGTTGGTTGGGGCATGTGGTTCATTTTAGACATTATAGTCTGACGTGAGAACCATGTTCCACTCAAGTTCTGGAATTTGGCCTTGAGACTTGAGATCTGGCCTTCATAAGACCCCCTTCTGTCTCGCAAAATCAAAATCAAAAATCAAAATCAAATCTTTCTCAATTTGTTACATGTTCCATTTTCGGTTTTCACAAAGTGTACCCCCATATAGAAATCAAAGACGTAGTCCTACGTCAAAAGGCGTGACAAAAGTAAATCAATTCATTTGTTCCGTCGTTGTTGACCATTTTCTTGAACAATTTGACTCTCGAAACGTTAAGTTGAAAAGTTGAACACCGCATGACAGAAATTCGGATACGTTTCAGCCAATGAAAATTACCATACCGTTTTCGAAAATCCAACAAATGACTGTTTTTACAGTGTAGTTATAGCTTAGATAAAACTAAAGAGGAATCGCTTGCTCAGTCCAGCCAAGTATTATATACCCGCGCAACAAGCCCCAGCCAGCATTCGTACAAAGTACACGCACAGAAAACGAACCAGTCAAATTAAATTCCTAATGTGAATTATTTCGAATAATTACAATTACAGTGTGAAATCCTGCAGCTAATGTCTTTTTTTTTGCCTCGATTCGGTTCGGTGCTACCACATACCCATAACCACCCTTCGCGCGCTGAAATCCTTCGTTCCGTTGACCTGTGTTCCAATGATTCTTCCCACGAAAATCTCCCTCCATTCTTACTTTGTCCTTTCCTATAAATGCTAGTCACAATATACTCGCGATCCACGTAATACGATTACCAGAAAATATATATAAATAGTTCATACTTTCTTTTCTGAATAGTAAATCTGAATCGCACTTTTCTGGTTGTACCAAATGTGAAGGTGTGCAAAAAATTCATAACAAAAGAGAGTGCTCTTGTCTTCTAGTAGATCGTCTTTGTGGTGGAAATTGTTCTTCTCTTGCTTGTCGTGTGTTTGGATCTAGAACTGCTACATTTAAGATTCAATTCATTCGGTACAGGGTTGGCGGTTGCAGAAGGGAGGAAACGGTGGTTTTACGATGCTTCACCAGCATCGACCGCTTTCCAACTGAGTAGATCATCCAATAGCGATTGCATGATCGGATTCTCGCCTAGTCGTTCGATCTAGGGAAAAATAATACAATTTCGTAAAACCTGCCTACAATGCGAATAAAAATTGTAACTCACCTCAGCTCTAGCTTCATTGTCGAGCATTTCTAGTACTTCAGCGGTGTATTTAAAACTACCAAGCTTTTCTAAGAGGGATACGCAATAGCGCTTCACTTCAACGTCCTGCGTTCTTTGTCGTAAAATATCTAGAACAGACAAAACGTCAATTACTTCAAACTCCCGAATACAGTAATCCAGACATCACTCACGCAACACCTGTCGATCCTTTTGATTCAGCACCGCGTGTATCACCGGGAAGCTAAATTTGCCCTCGGTCAGATCTTCGCAGTAGCTCTTGTTGTCCGAGTAATCCTTCGACGTCAGATTGCAGTAGTCGTCCCGGATCTGGAACGACAGCCCCAGGATGGCCGTCAGTTTGGTAAAGTCTTTGTTGCTATCACTAAACAGTTGCATCAGCCGGATGGCCAGCATGAACAGTCCGCCAGTCTTTCGGATCACCATCTGTTTGTATTCCGCTTCGGTTGGACAGATGAAGTTGTCTCGCCAGTAGATTTCCATCCCCTGACCTCGGTGCAGCTCCAGTAGCTGCTCGGTTACCACCTGTTGGGCCTGTTCCAGGTTAGAAAGAATTGAATCAATCGCTTCCTTAATTCAAGGGCAACGAGCGGATCCTACCTTCGGATGACCCAGACTGTGAACCTTGGCAAGTGCCAACACCAGAACGTAGTTACCGGCGTTGATCGTACTCGCTATGCCGTAGATCTTGTGAGCTACCGGAATTCCTCTTCGGAGTATAGAGTTATCTTCGATATCATCGATTCTGTGCAGATTTTGTGGTCGAATCCCGGAAACAAAAAGAAAAATTGAGCGCCCGTTAGTGATGTTAGTGGATTGAGTTATACGATAGGTACCTCAACTTCTCTTCATGACTTTGGCGCTCTTATCCAAGCTTATGCCGAATCTCAACTTAAGTGCCCTTTTAAGCACATTTACACTTAATAATTGATAATTTTTAAATAAGCATTACAATGGTGGTTGTTATTCAGTACCATACGTACAAGACTCCCCTGATTGGGACGTCAAATCATCCAACAAATCGATATCGATACAAGCACTATTGCGTCAGAAAGCAACTTAACTCAAGGCCAAACCGCAAGTCGATCGAACCCTGATTAATCACGATTTTGAACAATGAAAAGTGGTTCATACTCACAGCAAACTGGAATTGTGCATCATCTGAACGACCTCCCCGATCGCGGCCAGCTTCTCCTCCTGAATGTCCAGCCAATGGTTAAAGGCCAGTGCCATCTTGGCACGAAATTGCTTTCCCGGTATCTGCTGGATGTAGGCAAACGGTTCCAGCAGTATCTGACAGCAAACAACAAAACAAACATTGTTATCAGTCATCATTGGTCATTCATTGTCTTTGGATGATTCATCGAAATGAAGTAGAACATTCTTACCGCATCTTGTTCCTTCTGCAGTGATTGATCCCGGCACTTCTCCAGAATCTCGTTGAACTCGTCCATATCGAATTTGGCCATCCTGAATAAACAACACACTACAATACACCTACAATTGCGACCACACAAGGAGATTCCTGGAGGAAGGGTTGAGATCACAAGAAGCGGCGCAGGTTCTAAGTGGTCTTGGGGTACCCAACGCACTGCTATTTACAACTAATTGTAAAAATCGTAAAAGTAGTTGCCCTTAAATTTATTTTAGCATAAAAATTATCGAACCTTTCACTGGAGCAGGTAAACAATGATGCGATCAACTGACAGCCTGCCTGACTGCGACTGCGATGTGGAAATGTCATTTTTTTTTTATTGGCGTTGACGGCGACTCTGTAGCTCCCTTTTTATGGCACAGACCTGTTGGTCCATATTAAGACTCTGTAGCTCTTCACTCCTATGAGAAAATCCATAAGCAAACGTCAGACTGTGCGTGAAACATGGCGGACTTTGTACTATCCTTTCACTCCACCGAAAGTTCCCATAAGAAACTGTCTATATTTGCTAGAAGAGCAAATTTTTCGACGGTGCCGTCAACGCCAATAAACCAAGTTTTTGGTTTTTCCTATTGACCGTTTGGTGGCGTTGTGAGATGCGATGTTTTTTCAAGGGGACATGACACAGCATATACACACAAAATATTACAAAACCAATATTGATTAAATTTTATGCATTTTATGATTAATCAAAATTTATACATTTTTTCGATTTATATATCCTTCAAAACTATACTAAGTTTTATGTCGCGAGACCGTCGCACTTAGATGGTACTTATCCCGTCATCAGGGGAAGGAAATAAAACACGTGTGCAACTTACCTTGTGAAGAGCTGGTCCGAAAGTGAGTTGCCCGTGTGTGTTTATGAAGCGTTTCCATAGACGAGTCCATAGATACCTCTGTTTACCAGCATTGAACTATTGCGCTTACAACGGAGGGCTGCACACATGGCTTGCTGACTCGTTAAGCATCAAGTTAAGACCTGCTTACACTACCGCTAGTATATGCCACACATGACCCTCTCTCCATGTGTTGCCATGTGGTACAATCCAGTAGTAGTGGTGTTGCCATGTGGTACACTGAAAAATTGAAATAGCAGTTTAGTCACCAAAGTTTTCGAGCCGCTCCGTCTGTCACTTCGTTTGTGCTAGGACGGTGATCAGCCGCTCCTAACATGGAGAACAGACGCCGTTTTGAGCCGCACCTCCATGATGAACAGACGCTCAGGTTTGGTGAAGCATTTCCTCTATCACCGTACTATGGTTACCGCGCCAGTTTTCGCGTCGCACCTCTTCACTTTGCTATTGCCGGACTGGCAACATTGCCCAGGCTACGCCAACCAGCTGTGTCCATGTTTCAGCTGGTAGTCTTTTGTTATCATATGACTCGAGGAGGCGTGAAGTAGGAACTTGTGAGGACCAGGGCTAGGTATTCCGCTCCTTCCAGGTTGTCAACTCACCATTTTGTAGCCCTAATTTAAAGCCCAAGCGCAATGACAGCGGAAGCGGAACGGCAACGGCAGCGGAAAAGCCCGATCTGAGTAAGCCAACTTGTCTAATTGAAAACTTGTTGGAACCAAATCGACTTCGGTTAGGCATCTTGATGTCATTTGTGACAACTGTCAAACTTTCCGTTTCCGTTCCGCTTCCGTTCAAATTGCGTTTGGGCCTCTACAGCTAAAATAACAACACATTAAAAATCTGGAAGAACATTTTCAAATCAAAGTTGGCACTCGTGGAGAATAGAAGAACTATGAGAGTGATGATGGTTTCAAAATTTTCCACGGTGAGGTATACGAGTGCAATCTTAAAATGCTTTTATTTTAGAAATGGAGCATTTTATTTAAATCTGGTTGCTGCTACAGTTGTAGAAAAGCTGAAATCTATGTCTACACATAACAATCTGAAAAGAAATTATTTTTTCTATATTATGTGTCTATTAAGTAGTCCTTAAGTTTTCCACTAGCGTAGCATCAACCAGATTTAAATAAAATGCTCAATTTGCAAAATAAAAGCATTTTAAGATTGCACTCGTATACCTCACCGTGTACAATTTTGAAACCATCATCACTCTCATAGTTCTTCTATTCTCCATTAGTGCCAACTTTGATTTGCCAATTTAGCTTTCAATATTTTTTGAGTGTACAGACCCACCCTAATGAGAAAACATCGAAATTCATAGACAGAAGCTGATCGGGGGAAATCGCTGATAGGGCACCATCGTCTGCCGAAGTGGAATGTTTTGACAGTTGAGCTCAAACGTGTAAAGATTTTGTTGTTTTGGTCCCCCTCGATCCGTGATTAGATAGAATCTAGTGAAAGTTCCGAAGTTCTCCGTCGTGAAATGGCAGCCGCGCAAGCACCGATGCGTCCGTGGGACTCCTCGTTCCAGCACACGGACCGGGAACGGTGGGTCTGCATCTATCCGGCGTACATCAACAAGAAGAAAACCCGCCAGGAGGGCCGTCGCATTCCGAAGGACCTGTGCGTTGAAAACCCGTCCTACCAGGAGATCCGGGACGTGCTGCATGTGCTGAACCTGAACGTGATTGTGGAAAATAAGCTGTATTCGCGGGAGAAGAGCAAGGTAGGTGGATGGCCTTGTGCATGTTTTTTGTTTGTTTTGGAATTATAGCGGGACGTGGTAAATTTATAGGAGCTTGCGTACCGTGGAAGGATTCGCGTTCAGTTGAAAGACAGCGATGGAAGCCCCATTAAGCAGGAGTTTCCGAGCAGGGATAGCTTACTGGCATATTTGGGCAAGACGATTCCCCAGTTGAAGACGAGGCAGGGCAAACCGGCGGAACCGGTTGCGCAGGTTCATGCCAGCGCAGGTTCCAGTGGTGGTGGACAATCCCACAAGAAGGGCAAGGGAAAGCGACGGTAGGTTGGGACGAGTGGATATTTATTTTCTTATTGTGCAAAATGAATGTGAATTAAATTGTTTTGAATTTTCGGAAACGGATAAAGCTTTTATTTGACATTAGAAAGAACATCATTCCTTTGGGTTGTTACCTCCGATGTAGACAAGCTAGAAGACAGGATTGGATTGGAACGGTCGAAACTGCAAGATATGATGGAGCACTGCGGTTACAGTTTATGATATGGTTTTATGATGTAGTAAAACTTACGGGATATATTGGAGGTTTTAGCAACCGAAAGAACCTTTGCAGGGGTTGGGGTTGAGGATTAGGACGTCCATTTCGTCGACGGTTTTGTCGACGAATTGGAAGATTCGGTTCGTAACTATTAGCCTGCCTCACCATTACCTTTTTAGTTATAGCTGCAGGAGTAGTAGAAGTAGTAGTAGTGGTAATTGTCGTGCTAGCAGTTCGTTTGATTCTGGATTCTCCAGGTTCTACACCGATGCCAAGGAATGTTACCAGCACTAGAACTAACCAGAATAGACCCTGCATTTCGAGCGAAGCTAAATAGAAACTGAAATGAGGATTCAAGGCTTACGCGTGTTTGCATTGCATTGGCAGAGTTGTAGATATGTACGTGCCTTTTAGACCTGAATGATAAAAGTGAAAGTTTGTCCATACGAAAATAATCAGTTCCCGCGTGCACCAACATGAGTGATGCCAAACATTAAATATTGTAGCAACCACGGAGCGTGCTGGGTTATTCCTCGGATTCGAGTAATTCACATTCGGTTGCCTTGCTTTTTTTTATTAATGATATGTCGGTTGGATTATTTGAATCAAATAACGTTTTATTTTTTAAAAGAACTTAAGTTACAGCTTTGAGACGACCTTCTATTAGCCAATTTATTTAAAGAAAAATATAGTTTCATGGTAGGAGACGTTTTACACTGCTCGAATTATACGATCATCGGAACGTCCAAAGAGTTTAAATACTTAAAAAAATATGCAGTCTTTTACCACATCTAATCACATAGTCGAGCAGTTTCGGACGTTCGTCTACTAGAGATTTTAAGAAAATGTGTCAAATTCGGATTTTTTAGGCCAATCTAAAATAAAACCCTCTGTTCTCGAAGTTCTAGAAGCTAAATATTGCTCCGAGATAAAGTTTTGAGCGGTATGAAACGTCATTTTAAACTCCCCGAATGATATGATCCATTTCTTGAATGCGAGTCGGCAAAAAACTGCTCGACTAAACATGAGGCGAGCAGTTTAAAATGACCTTTCCTACCATTCGAACTTTGCGTAATATGCGTAATATTTTTGAGATTTTTTTCTCATAAGAGACGTGTACAATGACGTTTCCTACCACCCGAACTTTATCAAGGAGCAATTTTATGAGATTTTTGCTTCTAGAACTTCGAGAAAAGAGCCTCATTTTATTAAAATCTTTGGTAGGTCGTCCAAAAACTGCTCGACAATATGATATAATTAATAATATTGTCGAGCAGTTTTGAGACAATCTTCTACCAGTGATTTCCAGAAAATGAAGCAATAAATTCCAGATTTTTCAAGCTTAGCATAATTAAGACTCTAACTCTTCTAGGTTCTAGAAGAAAACATCAAAATATTGTTCCACGGGCAAGTTCGAGTGGTAGGAAATTGGCATTTCAAACTGCTCGAATGATGTGATCCATTTGTTACCTAATTTTTTTATAAACTTCTCCAATGATGCGATTAGTTGGAACATCTTCTTCTACATAGTACATAGTGCTAGTTAGCATTTGTTTGCAAGAATGGAAATGGCATTGGCAAAGGAAACAGCCAAGGTCTTCCTTCGGGGTGGCTAATCGGCAGTCCATTTGGGCGTTCCGGTCGTCCATCAAAAACAGGTCGACGATGCGGTCGACCTTCTGCTGGCCGTCGATTCGGGCGAGACGACGGCGTTGGTGGGCGGTCCGGACGATGCCTAACATAATGTATCGGTTGTCCTGGATTCCTTTTTCTGGTGTGGATAGTTGTTGTTTCCGGTGCAGGGGTAGTGGTTGTAGTAGTCGTTGTTGTTGTTGTGGTGGTCGTCGTTGTAGTCGTACTCGGATGGATTGTTAACTTAGGCCTTATCTGTCTACGTCGACTGATCTTTCTGTTGATAATGTTACTGTCTTGAGAATGTGCCAGGTCGATGATCAAAAATACTACGAGCGGTAAGATCACCCAAATTTGGCACTGCATTTCGAACGGGGTTGAAGAAGAACTGAACTGACCAGTTTAAAGTTTTTTCTTGCCTGGGGTGCCTCTATGTGATTGTACGTGTCATGTGGGCTTTTAGCCAATCTGGAGTGATAAGATGTGTTGTTGTGTCATGCAAAAGTGCGTAAATATATAGTTCTAGTTGTAGTTCCAGTTTTGCAATGCGGTTGTGTTTTTCACAGCTCAAGGTCATAATTTGTAGTGCAGGGTGACTACTGAACCGGGAAACCCAGGAGAACCGGGAATTAAACGGGAATCGAAAACTACCGGGAATTTGATTGGAGCCGTATTTGTTTGTACCTATACGAATTGAATTCTGTTAATAATTTTTCTAAGTTAGAAATATTCGAGTTATTAGAATATTTCTCTTAGTAGAACTTTGATCATATATTTGCCTTGTAAAATCAGCCATGATAGGGGCAATTTGTGGATTCATTAGATTTGTCCTTAAGTTTCAACTAGAAATACTCAGAGGGAGAGATAGTCGGAGAAAACAAAATACAATTCGGCAGCAGGGATTTGTTCCTAAATTATCTTCAACCCTTGCTAGAAGCTAGCATTTCAATGACTTTTATTTTGGATTCGGTTAACGTGCAAAATAAAAATTGATTGCATCGCAATATTTTGCACATTTCTTGGTGCCATTCATTAACCAAAGAAGATCAATTAATCAATAGAGCTAGAATATTGTTTTTGGTTCCAAAAACTAGTTGAATTTGAGAAGCACACAAAACATAAAGGTGATTGAATTTCTGTTCGATTGCAATACTCTCAAATTTATTCTAGTAAGAATAAGAAATCCTCGGAAACATTCTAATTGGAATGTTCGATTGGCTCAGATTGTGACAGTTCATTTGGCTCAAAACATTCTCTCCGCCCATCTCTCACTCTGAGTATTTCTAGTTTCAACCATACACACGAATCCCGGCTTCCGCCGTTCGGTAATTTTTTACTATATAACCACAGACAAACAGACATAACTCCCGCAAGTTGTTCATCGAACAAGCATTTAACGGTCAATTTAAAAGTTTCTTAGTTGGTAGTACCACCACCTGTGGCGCGCATAGTTTTTTTTTTTTTTTTTTTATTATTATAGTCACTTTAACACGCTTGGGTTATTCGTGACTTGTCCGGGGGTGAGATTTGAACTCGTGACTTTGGCGTGAGAGGCATGGATGTTAACCACTACGCCGGGGTCGCATAGTAAATTCCCTTGCGTTTGTCGTTTACACACTACCGCCATCTGTTCTGAGTACTAAAGGGTGTCCACGATGAAATTGCCACACTATGAAATTGCTCTAACCTTTTAACCGTTGGGTAGAATTTAATGAAAATTTGGGTGGATTTAGTTCATAGTGCATTATTTACATCCTGCAAGTTTTAAAGTTCTGTGATCAAAACTCGCGGAAATGGAGTCGAAAGAACAGCTCGTGCGTGATAAAATCTTACGCATTCATCACGTTAACAAGGATCTCTCGCATCGTTCCATCGCTAAAACGTTGGGAATCGCGAATTCCACGGTGTCGCGAGTGATTAAGCGGTTCGAGGAACGGTTGACCACCGATCGGAAGCCCAGAAGTGAAGGAAAAAGTATTCCGTACAACACCAAAAATCACAACCGCGTAGTTGGGGCCTTCAACCGAAATCCGAACGCCTCCGTTAGGGATGTGGCTAAGAAGCTGCACCTAAGCCGAAGTTTTGTCCAGAAGGCCAAAACTAAGGCTGGGCTTCGAAGGTTCAAGGTACAAAAGGCCCCTAATCGCGACGAGAAGCAGAACAAGTCCGCCAAAACCCGTGCCAGGAAGTTGTACCTCAACATGCTGACGAAAGTTGAATGCTGCATCATGGACGACGAAACATATGTGAAGGCCGACTTCAAACAGATCCCCGGCAACCTGTTTTTCACGGCCAAGGATAAGTTCAGCGTTCCGGAGCATGTCCGCACTCAGAAGATGTCCAAATTTGCGAAGAAATTCCTGGTTTGGCAAGCCATCTGCACGTGCGGGAAGCGGAGTGTACCTTTCGTGACCCAGGACACGATGAACGGACAGGTCTACATAAAAGAGTGCCTCCAGAAGCGGCTACTTCCTCTCCTGAAGGCCCACAACGTCCCAACAATCTTCTGGCCGGATTTGGCCTCATGCCACTACTCCAAGGACGTGCTGAAGTGGTATGCGGACAATAAGGTCAATTTCGTGCCGAAAATGTTCAACCCTCCCAACACTCCGGAGCTCCGCCCCATCGAGAAGTACTGGGCGATTAAGAAGCAGCAACTTCTTAAACGACCTAAGGTAGTGAAGACAGTCGAGGAACTGAAGAAAGTATGGGTTTACATGCAAAAAACGGTTGATTCACAGGTTGTGCAGAATCTTATGGCCGGGGTTAAGGCCAAGGTGCGGGCATTTGCGTATGGACTGTAAATAAAATACGAATAAAATGGTAAAATGAAGTTTAATAGTTATTTCTCAATCCCTGAAAATTTGATGGCAATCGGATGAAAACTCGAATTTTGCGAATCAATTTTGTGTGTGGCAATTTCATCGTGGACACCCTTTACCTACCACAGTGTACTCAAAAGATGGCGGTAATGTTTTAGCGACGATGTTTTACAGTGCGAAATATTCAATGTGTTATGTCTGTTTGTCTGTGGTTAAACAATCAGTGAAAAATCCAATAATTAGTAAACTTATTCCGAACTTGTACATATTTTGAAATTTTACCACTTTGTTCTGCAGTTCAACCTTTAATTTTCATTAAAATTTGCTTAAACTACGCCTCAAAATTACCAGAAATTTCTAGTCAAATTT